CCCACTTTGTGCCATGATGTTTTCCTGGCTGAAGGATTTCCCCTCCCCCAGGACCTCACAGAAATGCTCAGCAAATCTGCAAACCTGTTCCTGGGGTCGGAGATTGTATCACCGTTTTTTATCCCCTAATGATGGTAATAGGTGTGGTGCTGCAGGTTACTTTTTTGATAGAGTTAAATAGAGATTTGTGAACGCGGGCCACTGAGGCAGACTCCATCTCCTCAGCAACCCGCGACCACCACCCATCCTTGCAGTGCCTCACAGCTCTCCGAACCTCCGAGCGAAGGCTGCGGTTCAGCCTCCTCATTCTCTGACGTGGGATTCTGTAGTCGATGACAGTGGGCCTGTCGCTTTTTCTCAAGCATCCTGAACACCTCCTCTGTCAGCCAGGGTCTCTGGGGAGGTCTGCACTGCGTACCCAAAGCAGCCATTGCAGCTGCATAAAACGCAGTCCTAAACCTCGCCCATTTAACCTCGATATCAGGAGGAGTTGGGAACGATGCCAACCCCAGCCGCAAGCGATGATGAAATTTTCGCATGGAACTTTCATCAGATAACAAAGACCAGGCCACTTTGGATTGGAATGGGGTCCTGGGTGTACACCCACTACGGGAATGGAAGAATGGCAGGCGCATCTAACAGATGACAAGTCTATGGTCAGTTGGCAGATCAGCTCCATGGTAGGTCCTGGTGTCAAGGACATGTGCACGCATCCACTGGTCCATCACTATGTAGCCCAGCAGATGTTCTTCCTTGGACCCGGCATGCATCCATGATGTTGTGTGGATGCGCCGATGCCAGAACAGCGTGTTGGTAATTACAAGCCCATGGGCTGCACAAAAATCTAGCAGCCTCCTACCGTTGTTATTGAGCTGATCTGGCCCATGCCCTCCAATCACTCCAGACCAGGTGCAAGCATCATGACCAACTCGGGCATTGAAGTCACCCAACAAGATGACTCTATCCCGAGGGGCCACTTTAGTCAGCACCTGTGACAGGAGGTCATAGAAGGCATCTGACTCATCGGCTTTGCCAGCATCCCTCCACGGATGTTCATCTTTGGTGGGGGCATAAATAACCATGATCACCACTCCTCACCTCCGGTTGATGGGAAGGCGAGCCCAAAGTAGCCTGGGGCTTACAGCTTCCCACACCTCACCACCACGCTCCCACACCCATTCATTATTTTGTATCAAAATAAGAGCCACACCCTGTTGTTGGCAGTCTGCTGCCCCGAATAGAGGACTGTCCACCCTTCATGGTGGCAGGAGACAGAACCGGTCCACCGGACCTCCTGTATGCCACAGAGATCCAGGCGGTACCGGTTCAGCTCCCGACAGAGGAGTGGCAGCCTCTCCTCCGCAGTGAGCGTTCGAACATTCCACGTGGCCACACGAAGTGGCTTTTTGTTGTTTCGGGAGGAGCCCCAAGGGTAGAGATTGAATCTCCTGGCTCCGCCAATTGTGGTTTGTCTAACACACACACACCCTGTGTCTAACACACAGAGCCCATGTGTCTAACACACACATCCAGTGTGTCTAACACACACATCCTGTGTTTTGAGTGTTTAACCATGAGATGTTATGGATCTGTACCTGCGCATCACCTCCAGGTGCCCCTGTGGAAGAGAGGGATAGATCATGAGTGAAGTCTCTACCCTTGGACCACGAGTCTCATTGCCACTGCCCGCTCTGTTGTTCTGGACACCCAAATGGCATCTCCACAGAGGTGATTCCCACCTGCAGGAAAGCGAGCGAGTTCCTCTCGTGCTGCAGAGCATGCAGGCGAGCGGCCGTGGCCTGGAGCTCGCCGATCTCCTGCTTGTGACGAGCGATGTCCTCGTCTATCCGGGACAGCAGGTCGCGCTCCTTCACGGCCACGCGATGTAGAGCCTCCCTCTCGTCCTCGTCCAGAGCCTTCCTTAGGCGGGCGAACTTCCCCACTGACGCGATCCCTGATCCCAGCAACCGATTCCTGCGGAGACGCGGGGACCACAGTTGGCTCCCTGAGCCATGAGCTACTCCGTGTATGCGTGTGGGCGCCGTGGTGGCTAGGAGATGTTGACTCCTTCACATGGTATCCAGCAGGTTGGAGTTCTATCCTGACCCTGACGCCTGATGTATATTTGGGGTTCGTTCGCTCTGTGGTTGTGTGGATTTTTATTTGGGTCCTCCGGTTTTTGCCTCCACATTTAGGATCAATGTTGCGCATTTAGAGTATTTGGCTCCTATCAGTTTACACATTACCAGCGGCCACTTTTTTTAGCTCTCATTTGTAATAGCCAGGTCGCTTCTGGAAAATAAACTACACAGCTCAGTGGAGCCGTTCCTGCTAAAATAAAAAAATAGTTTAGTCTATTGGTCTCTATGGGTCTCTATTTCTCTCTTGGGGTGCCTCTGTATCTCTATTTCTGCTTATATATCTCTCTGCATGTGTAGTGAGTCCAACTGAGTCGCAGACGTTGTCTTGGGAGAAACACTATTTATTACATCAACTCAACACAACATAATGTAACCTACACTCGGGTGTTGAACGCCCATCTAACCACGCTATGGCAGAACTAGACACGGTCCCGCTATCCCGGTCCGGACCACGAGCTGCGTCCTGGACTGCGTGGCTACAGGCTTCTTCAACCTGACGTGGATCTTCACTCACCAACAATCAAGAACCCCGAGCCCCAAACAGGGCACCCGTTATATCGACTTGGGCTGGGGCTGGCTCCGCCTCTCGCCCCGCCCACCTTCTCGATCTCTCTGGCCCTTTCCCGAAGGCTCCCAAGAGCTCTTCTATACCACATGACCACCCAGCGGCCCCCGTCTACCGGTGGCCCCCCTCCAATATCATCTGGTCACGTGTCGGCAGGTCAACCAGCGTATCATGCCCCAACGTAACCCTGGCTGGCTGACTCTCTCTCGCTCCCTCACCGGGAGCCCGCACTGCACACTGTACGTGGTGCCTCTGCGCTAACCAGCGCTCAACCAAGCCCCGCTAGGGCTGGTACTACGCCCAGTAACCAGGCTGCACGTAATTACATTATCTGTCGTGGCCTCGCAAGGCCGGCATCACACAGTGACATTCACAGTCACTACACATGTCTAGGTATCTCTATGGGTCTAGTATCTCTATGGGTGTCTATGTATCGATATGGGTCTCTATGTATATTGGCTGCTGCTATAAATTTCCATGTGATAATTATGATGTCAACCACTTGGTGGAGCTTTAATTTGTAATAGCCAGGTCACTTTGGAAAAAGAGCTATACAGCTTAGTGGGGCCTTACCTGGTAAATAATTAAATAATATTACCTAGTGGTGAATCATGCCCAAGTGACGAGGCGCCCATGGGACTGAGTCGACCCATGCCAAGGGGGCAAGAGGGGTGCCGCTCTCTTCTTGTTTCTCCCCTAGAGGGCGCTGGGGTCGTGGATGTTGAGACTCGGGCACTCCGCGTCCGGGGGTTCCCCTCCTGGGTCCGACGAGATGTGGCGAGATGTTAACCACCTCGCCTGGTGTACAGGGAGTCGTGGGTTCGACCACGACCATGATGCCTGCCTGGATTTTTGACCAAGACCTCCGGCTTTTCTCTCCACATCTAGAATAGGTATAATCCAGGTCGGGTTTTCTCACAAGTCCGACTCGGGTTTATAGTCCAAGGCATTCGTTATCTGCTGTGAAGAACCCGCAGAGCCCAAGGGTGTCTCCGAGTTCAAGCAAGCGTTTAGAGTACTGTATTTAGAGTATTTTTCTGCTGTCAATTTCCACCTATATAAGCCATTTCATTGAACTATCATTTGGGACAGCCAGGTTCATTCTGAAAAAGAGCTACATGGCTCAGTGGGGCCTTACCTGGTGAAATAAAAATAGTTTAGTCTATGAGTCTCTGTGTATCTATAGGGGTCTCTATTTATCTCTATGGGTCTCTATGTATCTCTGGGTCTGCTGCTATATATTTTCACGTGATGATGTCAGCAAATTAGTTGAGCTACTATCATTTGTGACAGCCAGGGTCGCTTCTGAAAAAATCTACACAGCTCAGTGGGGCCTTACCTGGTAAAATAAAAAAAAATTAGTTGTTATCAAAATAAACTCCGGTAATGCGATTAGGGACGACGTGAGGTGCAGCTGTGTGGTGTTCGTGCCTCTGCGTCCGTGCCGGTGCATGACCTCCTGTGCAGTGCAACAGCTGCACAAAAGCCCCACCACTAGAATCCGTGGCACTCTTTACACTTTAGTTTTTGCCACAGGAGTGGAAGACGCAATGCCAAGAAACCCACCCTCACAGCAGACTTGCCAATGCGGATATCGAATGTAGTAAAAGTGAAACCCACTTGTAGTTGATGTTGAGTTCCAAAGTGAATGATATAGTTAGGAGGTATCAAAGTTATGAAGCTGCACGAAGTTCGCTTGAAATAATTGTGATCTCCATGACTTCTGCCTTGGGTGGAGGTGACAGGGGTCAAAAAGCCCGACCCGGACACGGTACCTGCGCCTCCTTGCGAGCGGCCTCCATCCGCTTCACGGACTCCTCCGCCTCCTTCCTCTTCTCCTCCACCGCTCGCGTCTCCTCCCCTACGCGAGTCTGGAGTGAGAGACGAGACGTCACCAGTGGGAGACTCCAGCCCCCTGAGCCACCCCTCATACCGCCCTTCCCTCCACAACGACCCCTCCACAGCGAAGGCCCTCATCTCCATGCTGCCTTTGTACAGCGACTGAGATGGGGGGCAAGGGTAGTAGCAGCAGCCGGTGTGAGCCGTGCTGGCTTGGTGTACGTAACGACTCGGACACATGGGCCCATGTGACTACAGCTGTCTAGTTTAAAAGATAAATTAAATATAATTGTTTCTAAGGGGGCTGTGATATCAGCCTCAAATCTATGTCTACTCAATTACTTTATATGGCAATTATGTTTAATGAAAGCCTAGGATTCAATACATCCTCAGTTTCTTTCCTAGAATGCAAACCAGAAGATTAGCTACACAGGCAGAGAGACAGATATTCAAAAGGGAGAGCATGAACACACGATAATGTTTTTCATTAGATGTTGTGTAGCAGAGTGACAGATTTGGTCAGATCGTGTTATGGTGTCTCACTCTGAGGGCCTCACCTTCCGTGTTTCGTGCTCATCCTTCAGCGTCAGGACCTTGTGTCCTGTGTGTTTATCTGCGATGGTGCAAGTTGAGCAGACCAGGCTGCTCTCTACTGTACAGTAGAATTCCAGCTCCCTTTTGTGATTAGGACATCTTCGCTCATCCAAGCTCGCAGTAGGATCCACCACAGTGTGGTCCCTCAACCTGGGATTCTCCTGGTGAGGCCTAAAGTGAGAAAAACAGTAGGACATCTCGCATCTCAGGCAGGTCTTCACTGCAGGAGTGTGGCCATCGCTGCAGATGTCACACACGACGACCGCGGCCATCACGTCTCCAACTTTGAGCTGCTCTGCCAGGTTGGCGAGGGCCACGTTCCTCCTCAGCTGGGGTCGTACAGGGAAGGTAGCTCGGCACTGCGGGCAGCTGAAGCTGCTCGCCGTCTCCCAGGCGACCTCCAGGCACCGCAGGCAGAACGAGTGTCCGCAGCTCAGCGTGGATGGGCAGATGAACGTGTCCAGGCAGATGGAGCAGCACAGCTCACTATCCACACTCTCACTGGGAGTTGCGCTCGCCATGACCCATGGCTTCGCTGGGATCGCTCGCTGTGTGGCTCAGTGAGACGCTGGACCAGGGCCTCTCTCTTATAGCGACGGTGAAGAAGGAAGTAAAATTCTTAAAATATTTTCATTGTCGTTTTTGACATTGAGACTGCCTGGAATGTGAACCTGCATCCTATGTGTACAAACACAATGCACACGGCTACTGTACACACCTGTTGGGATTTAACTTTAATTAACAGAATATATCAAAATAATCTACTCTTTAGAAAAACACATGAAAAGAAAAAATACACTTAAAGAAATTAGTTGTTTTTGATATTAACATAAATCAAAGAGGATCAGCTTCGAAAGCTCATTCGTGAGATGAGTATCGAGAGATAGACTCATCCTTCCACAGCTCAGTGCACAATTCGGTGTCTATGGTAAGACAGCAATGTTATCTCCCTCGCCTGGTGTACAGAAGGATCTGGGTTTTATCTGATGCTGGCTGTATATTAGGAGTTTGCGTCTCTCTACCGTGTGGTCACGTGGAATTTTCTCTGGCTCCTCCGGTTTTTCGCTTCACATTTAGAATCAACATCACGTATTTAGAGTACTTGGCTGCAATACATTTCTACCTGATAAGCCACTTCATTGCACAATCATTTGTGCCAGGTCGCTTATGAAAAAGTGCAACATCGCTCAGTGGGCTTGACCTGGTAAAATAATTAGTAGTTGATGTAGTTGTAGATATTTAATGATGTCCTGTAATTCCATATCCACGTAATTATCCCAATGTAATGAGTTGCTTGAATGTAATTTTGGCATCTGAGATGGAGTTTGTCACAGACTCCCGTGACCCATCCTGGATTCTTGAGGCTTTTTTTGCAGTGTGAATCTATCACCCACTCTACCTTCCTCCAACACCCACTGTTTGCGATGTCACCGTATCTCACCTTGTCCGAGACTGAAGATTCCCGTGCCGACTATTCACCATTCACAGCCACACCGACTGCTTATAACATGAACGGCAATCGGCGTTCACCATTAAGTGGCACCAATATCACCACGACGCTTGGTGATATCATCCAGCTGCTTGATGACATCACTATATCCATTAACTCCACACAGCTTAACCTGTTTGTGCTATTGTTGTCACGTCATGAAATTAGTGAATCGAGTGTTGATCCCTTGGTAGAGCAGTGTTAGGGAACGGCCCACTGAAGTAGACATCAAAGAGCCACCTCTGAGAAACCTTCAAAGTGGAGACCTCTGGTCCACAGGCATAGTAGAGGCCCTCAGTCGACATTTCTGTGGCGAGGATTATTTTAGGTGAACCTGAGACTCTGCCCTGGTCTCGTGAGTACTCACACCTGGCTACACGCACCGTGATCACATTGGGGAGATAACGTCTAAACGAAATGTCGTGGCATTTTTATTCCCTTTATTTGTATTATTATTTTTTCTACCTACGTGACTTTACTGAAAGAACCAAATAATATGAATTCCTGCAGTCACGAAAGTTTTAAGTCAAAAAACATTTAAATAATAGATTTTTAAAATAAATCGTTACCACGAATCGTGACAATCGAATCGTGTGGGGTGGGATGGGGTTCGCATCTGATTGGTTCAGAGCATACGGTGCTCTCATTGGTCAAGCGAATGATGGGGGCGGGTACATTTACTCGTCCAGTTCTGCTGTGTATTGTCACTCTTAGAGACTTTGTAGATTTGTTGATTTAATTTATTTTTATTGTTGTTAAATTGTTCTGCGGCACAAAGAGCGCAACAACGAAATCTACTTTCTACAGGGGTCGTCCTCAGCCGGTTCTGCCGGTATCTCTTCTGTCTCTACACCAGCTGAAGCCTCCCACTCATCACGTGACTACTGTGTGTGGCCACCCCCACTCTGAACCCCTCCTCACTCATCTGTAGATCTCGATCTCTACATCAGTGGTTATTCACATTCACTGCAGCCTTGCACCCCTTTGGTTCTCACTCGTTAACAAAATTACAATGTTAATTAATAAATAGGGTTTTATGAAACAAAGTAGATGTACTTACGTACTTGTACTTAAGGGGCCGTCCATAAATGACGTCACGCACCTAAGGGGGGGGGGGGCGTCAGACATTTGTGACGATGTGTGACGATGTGGGGGGGGGGGGGTTTGAGAAATGTGACGTCACATCAAAATGCACAACTTTAAATAAATATAGACAACACGTTCTACTTAATTAAATAGACTTTTAAATACATGTTTTCTCCTCCATCATCAGAGTGCAGCGCCACATTAAATACGCACTAGAATAGCTTAAAGCGATGTGAAGCATGTTTTTTTTTGGGGGGGGGGGGGCAGAGCTTTGTGACGTCATATTTGAGAGGGGGTCTGACTTTTTGTGACGCCGTGTGACGATGGGGGGGGGGGGGTCAAAAATCGTCCAAAATCGCGTGACGTCATTTATGGACGGCCCCTAATTTGTCTTACACCCCCATGAAGGGCATCTCGCACCACCAGGAGGTGCGTGCACCCCAGGTTAAGAAGATCCACTGCTCTACCTAAACCACCTCAAGCCTCCCCATCCCCTTAGTAAGCACATACACTGCTCTCCCTAAACCACCTCAAACCTCCCCACCCCCCTTAGTAAGCATCAAAAGGCGATGTAATTTTGTCACGCTCAACCATAAGCCTCACGTTGTACATCGATCCTGTATAGAGCTGTCCCGATTCAGCCTATTGGTTTATAACGGCATTAAATGGCATCACACAAAAAAACTAAAAAAAATTAAACATGTTTTTTTATATATATGAGTCAGACTCAGCTGCGAGGGCTCATTGACGAGCTGATGAGTGTTGAGTGACACCCTCATGCTATCGCAGCCTAGAGCAGTGGTTCTCAACATTTGTTGGCCACTGTTACCCCCCTTGTTGAATTTAGTTTCAACCCAGTACCGCCCTTTCCTGACCCATCATGGGTCTGAGAAATACATGCATGAAGAATAAACGTCAATATTTGAACCAACTTTCCATTGTGTGAGGTGTATCCTAACTGGCTTGTAAATGCAAGCTACCCCTGGGACAAACAATCAACGGACGCTCTGGATACGTGACGTCATTTCTTCTAGCTCGCGGGTTACTCTTGGAAACCACGTGGTTTACGATCAATTAATTTATAAAGCTATGTCGCGTCGTTCTATGTTACCATACGAATATAAATTGTGTCGTAGTTATTTTATTTCGGAAGATTCATACATGATTGTTCACCAATGACTCCAACGTATGTGATATTTCACGTATTTTATAAATCACCTTACGTCCTACCCCCTGGGAAATTACCAGGGGTCTGCGTACCCTCGGTTGAGAGCCACTGCTCTAAGCTGAGATATGTTTCCACGCAGAGAAAAATAATTTGAAGCCGGAGAGGTCGTAGGGGTTTTCAATTGGCGGTACGTGACCAAGCAACTTTGTGTGAAAGACAACATACAAGCTGACAAAATATGTCATTATTTATCTATTGTTATTTATAACACCTATAAGTCCAATTGACTACTGGGAGTGCATCATTTAAAAAAAGTTTTGATTCGGTACAAGCACATTCCAGATAGGATTTTTACATAATAGTGTCTCATCAGCAGTCAAGCTTTCTCGAATTAATGTTGGTGAACTTTCAGATAAAATAGGCAAGTGCCTATCTTTAAGATATGGGTCCTAGTTCGATACAAAATAATAATTGTAAATAATATTTAGTGTCAAATTAAGAATACGTATCTAATGTTATATTCTTGGTTCTTTCAGTAAAGTCACGTAGAAGGGAAAAAAATAAAATAATACAAATAAAACATAATACAATTCTCACGACGTTTTGGCCACAACGCAAGCAGACATAACTAATGTTAGTTTATTATCATGTACTGCGTGTTATATAGTGTTAAATAGCATCCATATGTTTTAAATAATACTGTAAAATATAAATTGTCGTTTTTTTTGTAATTAGAGTATTTCGATAGTTAATATAAGCAAAATGTATTTGTTCATGCAAGAAATACTGATGAATAAGTGCATAGTTCACCAATATTGATTCAGTTATACTTGACTACTGATGACACACTGAATGTCAAAGCCAATGCAGAATCTGCTTGTATAATTATCAATGCTACTGACACGTGACTCTCCCAGAAGGTTATGCGCCTGATGAGTTCTGTAATAAATACAGTTGTTGTTTTTGTTTGGAGGGACAGACATTTGAAGGCAGTGGTTCTTAACCTTTACTGTAGATTTGCACCTATTTGGTTATCAATCGTAAATAAGTACAATATGAATAAATACATAGGGTTTGATGAAACAAAGTCGTTACGGTACTTACGTGTCCATTCTTAATTTGTGTTTCAATTATTTACCTTCTAAAAAACCTGGCATGTCTCGCACCCCCAGAAAGGGAATCTCACACCCCCAGAGGATGCATGCACCCCAGGTTAAAAACAATAACTGTATTAAGGGGTCGTAGTGACTGCTTATCTATATTGTTACTTGTATTCTTCCGTGTAATCAACTGAGGCGTCTGCAAGCAATGGTGTTTGACGCTAAAGCTCTTAATGAGGCGGCCAATAGGAGATGCGAAGGTCGTGAACAGCACGAGGCCGAGGTCAGAATCGTGAGAGACTCTCCAAGGGAGCTCGGTTTCTGCAGACAAAGACTCCCCGCTTTGACCGAGAAACCCCGGCAGCCTGAGCAGTCGGACGTCATCTACTGTATGGCTGGACCGCTGATAATGAAGTGACATTCCGGGAGGCCAATGGAGGTAGGAGAGTTGCTAAGTCTCCATTGTGAAAAGATGCCAAGGCTCATCTGGTGATGTGAGTTAAATATCAGGCCATGTCCAACATCATTGACGAGTTGATCATTGAATGGGCCTCCACCCTACTTCTCCAATCCGGATTGTATTTTTATGCTCCTATTGAATTTATCACGAGAAAGCAATTTTTCTTCATTTTAATGTTCAAGTGTTCACATCCGCTCGTAATCCAAGTGCATTGTCTTCTGGTTAGGCTGTGCGTTGAAGAACGCGCTGCTGACATCTTAAGGAGTCACAGTAGAAATAACTTTTTTATTTCGTATTGAACGCCGGTAAATGGCCACTTTAGCACCTGGAGAATGCTTGAGAGACGTGACGGTCAACACGCAGCCCAACCCAGACAACCACACGTGGAGTATTTAAATTTGATGAGGCTTAGTGCACCTCATTCATCCCATACACGATAACAAAAAACATCTGGAACTTCAAGGACATCTGAAAAATGTCAGGCAGACTTCAAGGAATATCAGGCAAGATGCACGGATACTATGTATGTTGAACTTACTATATCTGCATTTTTAGGCAGTCTCGATTACTTTTGAGACGATGACTATACCCTCATTTTGTCCCCAAATAGCCTGAAACATGTCACGTGATTTGTTTGCTTTGGTTTAAAGTGCACAATGGAATGACAACTCATGCTTAAACTATTCGCATTGTAGCTGTTCAATAGATAAGGCGCTCATCTTTGGAATGCTGCTGAGACTTGTG